GCAACTAAACAATAAAGCAAAAGAAAGTACAATCAATTTTAACGAATATGATAAAACATTGTATTGTCACTTAATAACTAATCAAGTAATCAATTTAACATGACATGAGCTATATATTCAAGGATAAACTTTGATTCAAAATGATATATTCTTTGAAACATGTGTTTGTCTAGGAGCACGTTATATTTTACCATTGCTTCTTCAAAAGGAATATGTCAATATTTTTCTGATATATTAAAAATTATAATTCATACTTTTAAAGAGCAAGTAAGATTCTTCTAGAATATAAATTATAGTGTCGATCTACTTTAGGAGTGACAAAAAACAATTTGTAAGAGATAGATTAGTGATTATTATTATTATGAAATATTAAGTCCTTGTTTGTGCCCCATTCTTTTGGAAAAACCCATTTTTCAACAATGCTTTGATATCATTTCAATCACACATTGTTCAATAAAATAATACTACATGCAAATTCAATATTTTTTCTTATTTTTTAACCACACATTTTCCATCAATACACTATTCAAAAATTCATTTTTTCTCGAAAAGGGGCTCAAACAAGGGCTAATTTTAATGTTTGCTATATCAAGATCAACAACGTGATAACTTATTAATTTAAGCTTATAAAAGATCATCTAAAAGTATTTAATTACATTTATAATATTAATTAACATTCAGATATGATACGAATTTATATATAAAAATTAATTATCAAACATGCATTAGTAAAAAAAATCTTCATATATGTACACAATCTTCATATAAGGACATGCATTAAAAAAAATAAAAGTAATCATTATGGATAATACGTGGATAAAAATATACAGATAATTAGAAAATTAGCATTTAACATTAGCATACCGTTAGAAATCAAGTCAACTGTTATATAAAAATCGGCAAAAACCAATAAAGCATCAGCAGGAATCAAAGAAGCCATACAGTCGACTAATTGTCTTTCATAGCATTTAATTTTATATAAAAACAATTGATTGTGGTGGCCGAACGATATACACAAATTGATTTTGACAGAAGTAGTAGCCTTGAATAATATGCGCGCACATACACGCGCACACACGCATGCACTCACGCGCGCGCACACACACACATATATAATTCAATTGTCACCAATTTGATTTTGGTACACGTTACACATGATTATGCTTATAAAAATTATTACCTTTTAACTAATTCACTTTGATTTTGAGAGATTCTAGCTGATAAGATGTTATAAACTAGAGAGAGAAAGGGAGAAGAATGAAGAAGTCAATAGACTTGTGTGTATTATTAAGAACCAAAGTCCATATTTATAGGAAAGATTAGGGATACAATAATAATAATAATAAATAGAGCTGCATGAATATAATTTTCATTCGCTAGTAAACATATTATTTAAAACATTTCCTTATTTTATTTTTACATAAGAAAAATACATTATATATCCCAACACGTACGAAGCAAGTAGGTTCTCAACTTGTAAATCAAAAATTCTTGATCTCAAACTTTTATTTTCATGTAGCACATGTAGTTTTGTATCGCTTTTAACAATTACTTTTATTTTAATAAAGAGTATGTATAATAGTCATTTTAACAAAAGAAACAATGACTTCTAAAAGAGACATTTCACCAATTGTCAATTAATTTTGTAAGAAATTTTAAATTGATTATTAAAGCATTTTTCTTACTCAATTAATCATTGAAGTTTAGTCTACTTCACAAATGGTCACTTGATAAAAATACACAACATATAATCCAATGCATCGTTGTAAAGTGTCACGGTGGAGTAAAGGACACTAATCCACCTAGGAAAACTCAATTAACACAACTAATACTATGGTCCCTGAAGAAAAGTCCAAAAATTTCATGTAAAACCCTATGGTATATAGCAAGGAAAAAAGGGTAAAACTCAGGTCTTGAAAATGAATATTGCCGTTATATTATCCAACTAATCTAAAAGGCTTAACCGCACATCAAAATCATGCTCGCTTCGTCCACAAATTATTATTACCTATTTGAAAGTATGAAATTTCTTCATGCGATCTTTCATTTGGCTCTTTTCGCTATAGATTTAGAATATCTTCTAACATGATCCTTCATATGCAGACTCGAAATCTTTTTTTCATCTTGGACGAGACGTGTGCCTGCTCTGATTGAATAACTATCTCATCTAACATTTTAAATTAGATGAGACCAACTTACTTATTCAAATTATTTCTCCAACAAAATGTACTATTCAATTCTATCTTCTGTTGTAGTGCTTGAGGCATCAATACTTCATTTTCCCTTAGCATTGAACTGTTACAAGTATTGGGAGTGTTGTAGAAGCTTGCTCCAAGAGTCGTCAAATCAGTGTTTTTCGGGCTCAGTCCAACGTTACCTTTCTCTACCAAACAACAAATCTAAACGGTTCTAATCCACAACCTATATATTCACCTCATTGCTTCACAATCTCACCCACAAAGGATAAGATAACGGTGATGATTTGTAACTACAAAGGCAAGAAGAAAACCCCACAAAGGTATGCAAGGAAGAGACTACAAAGTTATCAACCAGTTTTAGTATCACAAAAGAGCCGATTTCTTCTCTTCAAAGGGCCATGTTTTTCCTCTTAATTTTTCTCACAACTCACACTAGAAAATAGATAGGGTTATACTTATATAAACAAGGTTAGGTCAAGCTTTTAATTGGACCAATAGCAAAGCTAAACGAACCAAGATTCTAGCCATCTAAGAGGGAATTCAATTGGATCGGATAGAGCCTATGGACTTTGTTGTTGGTACTTATTTTATTCATCGGACTAGACTTATGAAATATATTATCCTACGTTAACATCATAGCCTTAGATTTATTGGGTATCAAAACCCAACAAATCTCCACTTTGATGCCCAATAAATATGCAAACAATTGAACACACAGTAATCAAGATAACCAATAAAACTAGATCACAAACCTTATCTCGTGATTCCAACCTCAAACACATACCATACTTGCTCCATGTACTCACCAAGGCTAAAGTCAAAAGCACCCAAGTGGAAACAAATATTCACAGTAATCAATCAAGAACAATTAATCATGTGATGATGATCTAATATAGGGTGACACATAGATATCTTTTTAGAAACACGTTTACACTGAACCACAGATTAATACCAAGTTAATCAATAGATGGCCAACATATATGCAACGGATGCATAATGACCCCAAGAAGAGATCTCATCACACTTATCTTATCACATTCCGTGTTGCTCACACCTCGAGAACACATATTTCCTCTTATTGGCCACCATACTCACTAGACTGATCACTCAACTTATGTTTAATTGGTAAGTCACAATAGATTCTATGTCCACAGAATAATCCTCAATTACCACATCACTTCTCCCAATCTATGTGGATAGTGGGTCTCCATCTAATAGAAGTACTATAAGTACCTTTATCACACTCCACCTGATCAGGGTCTTCACAAATAAAGGATTCAAGACATTTAATCTCCTCACCACTCGTGATCCAAATGTCACAATCCACATCCTCGGTACAAACCACAATGTACCCCTAGGCATCTATACTTCACCTCAACAAAAGACATACGCTGCTAATGCATCCTAACGCACTATGCATGCAAACAATTATATCAAGTAATCATATTGCCTCAAATTCATGCAAACACACATATCAAGCACATTGAAATACAACAATAATCATGCAACAAAATTAGGCGATCACACACATGTAGAAAGGATTACACACAGATGCACATGCATTAACTAGGTTTACTCTCAATAAACCTCACTAGAGTCATCACTCGACCTTATAGCCAATTTCGTCCCACCTCTCATCTTACCCTTCTTCTTATCCTTTTTATTGGGTAGCCCCTAATAAAAAGCCCGAACTTACTACAACTGTAACACCGTCTTCCACTACACTTGTCATGTCCCTTGCCCTTTTTCTTATTACCCTTATCACTCAAGTCACTGCTCGAATCACTACTATTTTGAGCTCTACCCAAACTCATTTGCTTAAATTTCATCCTACTTCTCATCATATGTAACTCACCACTCCTCTTATCTTCTTTTTCAGCCTTCATCTCTATTTCCTTACTCCTAAGTGAATCTATGACAATCTCTGGTGTTAAGGTGTTCTTACCATACTTAATTGCATTCTTAACCTCTCTATATGAATCAGGCATTGGATTAAGAAAAAAAAAAGATAATGGTGATGATTTGTAACCACGAAGGCAAGAAGAAAGCACCACAGCAGTAGGCAAGGAAGTGATCACAAAGAACACAAAGTAATCAACCGATTTTAGTATCACAAAGGAGATGGTCTCTTCTCTTCAAAGGGGCAATGTTTTTCCTCTTAATTTTCTCACAAGTCACACTAGAAAATGGCTAGGGTTATAGTTATATAAATAGGGTTAGGTTAGGCTTTAATTTGACCAATGGCAAAGCTAAACGGGCTAAGATTCAAGCAATTGAAGAGGGAATACAATTGGATCGGGTAGAGCCTATGGACTTGATTGTTGGTACTTATTTCATTCATCGGCCTAGACATATGAAATATATTATTCCACGTTAACATCATAACCCGAGATTTATTGGATATCAAAACCCAATAGGGAGAAGCATTAATGGAAGTTAATATAGGAAAACTCTTGGTTAGCTGAATGATGAAGTTTCATCTCTTGGAGGGACAGCTATAGCCGACGTTCATGAGTTAGAGAAGGCTGGCAGATTTAATGGATTACAACTGTGGTCGATGCCCATAAACAAAATGCTTTCCCAATCTTGTTTCCCTCAGTCCTTGCAATATTGGTTATTCCTTTCATAAGATGTTAACATTTCTATCAACTCATCTTGAACAACTAATATTAAGTATCGTGTATAGTTAATTGATCAGAAACAATAATTTGCCCACCCTTCTTTTTTCTTTCTTTTAAATGAAAGCTTCTGGACAAGGCAATTAAGCTAACATCTTGAGGGCATAATTTTTGTCACAGATTCTTAGTATTCAAAATATGAATTCAAGAACTTACAACCATTGTTTTCAATCTGATAGACATTTATTATAATACTACTTTTATAGATTTGAATTCTAATAATACAAACATAGATTAATACAGTGAATACAAAAGCATCAAACCTATCTTGTTTGGAAGAGTTGAAACACGTCTCAACTAAAACTTGAAGAACAGAATTTGGCACACACCTTTACTTGGGATTCATTGTGTAATAGGTCTGGAGAAAAGTTAAGCAAAGAAGAAAAGTGGCAGCCGATAAGGCAATTAAAGTCCACGGACTGCGAAAATAAATGTGAATAAGTTCAGCAATCCATGTGTTTGCCTTGCTGCTGCAGTGCTTCTCAATTCTCATCTTCACATCATAAAAAGTATGGTCGTCGTCAAGTCCGCAAGTATCAATCTCTTTGATTACTTTCACAAGTTGTTCACCACTGTCGGAGGTGCTGAAGAGTATCTTCTTTTCTCGTAGTTCCTTCACATCTTCAGATTTAATGACGAGTGATTTTAAGAAACAAACATAACATAATATAGTACTGTCAGTGTCACTTTCTGGTGACGCTTCATATGCAATCATGTGCATAAATAATTGCTTGGAATGGGCAGTAAAAAGCCAAACCGGGAGTTGAAGTTGCCCATAAAATGTGTAGGATTTGAACTTAATATTCTTCAAACAAAATGAACTAGGTTTGAAGTGGATGCCTTTTGCTTTGAGATCGGTGACTGAATGAGATTGACGATTGTATTTCCAAAATTCATTTCGATATTCTTTCCTTCCCGGCCACCATTGACATTTATTTACTGCAATATCCACTTCTTCAACAAGTTCTTTTCCTGCATTATCCACTTCTTCGACGAGTTCTACTCCTGCATTATCCAAATCCTCGACAAGTTCTTTTCCTGCATTATCAAATTCTTCGACAAGTAGTCGATGAAAAGCATCCAGAAGGTGAAGTGGTTGCTTCTTATCTTCTCCAGGAATTCTTCTTGTTAGCCTGCTATCCGCAAAAACAAAGCAACTTGAGAATTTACAAATTAACTTCGGTCCTTCCTCTCTGTTGCCATATATTAAATTAGTCAAGAGCTTAATAACCCAGAGTGGAATTTGATTGTCGAGTAAATACATATCCTGGAATGCAAATGTCATTACAGCCATTCCAAGATGTTGACAGAAGTGGAAACTTTTTTCCTCATCGTCCTGAGCAATCTTCATAAGATATATAGCGAAACATGCATCTAGAAGCATCATTTCGGCTAGTTCTCCATCATCATATGCATCTCTTGAAACTCCAACATAACAATTTCTAATCTGGTCGACCACTTTAAAAATCTGGCAGTAGAAGAATTGTTTGTCTTTGCCGCTGCTTGAAACAAACAACGCAAGGACTTTGTGCTTGAATTCCTCTGCTATGCCAAGTTATGGCAAGCCATGGTAATAAGGGCCAAAGGAAACCATCTTAGGAGCATAGTAATCCTCTTCATTTTTTTTCTGGAATCGCACAAGTTCGGGCACTCTATGTATTCGGCGACCATCGAAATACTGATGATGATCTTCACTTTCACCTTCTGAAATTGGAATTTTATATTCGGCGTTATTTGCTGAAGGGTGTTGGTCTTCCATTACATTCAAGAATTGAAATTTCCAATTGCTGCACGATTGCTTTATCACAATTGATGCAAACCGCAAACGTTTTCCACTCTCTTAATAATTCAAGTACTGGGACATCAACTGACCTTTACATGCCAGCTTTAGAAAATTAGAAAAGTCAAGATAAAAATCAAGAAAACTAGGGTTTCGAAGATTTGACTTAGGAGAAAAGATTTCTAGCACAAGATCGTCAATTTTTTTCTCCTTTTTCCTTCAAACTAATTGATATACTATAATCTTTTCTTGCATTTTTATTCTCCCATGATATTAATCTTTCCTTTAGTTGTTGTGTCTTTTACTTTTCACTTCATCACTTCTTATTCCTATCTTCTTGCCTTCTTAACCTTTCTTTGAAAACAGAGAAGGAATAAAACAAAGACACCAATCACCAAAAAAAAAACGAAGCAAAAGTTATAAATGAGCCTTGCATTCTTGAAGTGTTATTCCTTTAGTTATTGTGTCTTTTACTTTCATTTCATCCCTTTCTTATTCCTTTCTTCTTACCTTCTTAACCTTTTCTTTGAAAAAACGAAGGAATAAAACAAAAACACCAATGACGCAAAATAAATAAATAAATAAAATAATTCAAGCAAAAGTTACAAATGAGCCTTGCATACTTAAAGTGTTTTTCTCCCTTTTCCATTTTTGGGTTGAGTTTTTTTCTTTTTGTTTTTCCCTCGTGTTTTCTTTTAATTCTTCAATTTTGAGCAAGAGAAGATCTTATGGAAGTCGAAACTTATTACAAATGTTAATAACCAGTTAGAAGTGCAATTTTTTGGAAGTCTTGAATCGAATCGCTTGATAAACAAGACAAATAATAATTTTACATGCACATAACAAATGAAATTTCGAGAGAGCTTTCAAATATCTAAAATATATATATATGTCATATCTGGAATCTGGATGTCTCCAAAATCTCCTTTGTAGATTTGTCAAGAAAATGCATTGAGTTTAAAAATTCAAAAGGAAAAAAATCCAGAATTTAAATTAAATTAACAATTAGGAATCCAAATCCCACAAATCTTGTTAAAAAAGAGTATAAATCCGTAAATTTAATCAGACAAGATTAGATGGGACACTAAAGAAATTAACACTACCTTAGTATTTTAATCTCGTCTAATTCAACTTAACCGACAATAATCTGAATGCCATATTTGTAAATATGAAAACGAAGAGAATAAAAATACCAGGATGGACTATTCATTTATTATTTTATTTAAAAGGTGTACAGATAAAATTATGTATAATTCTTCGTTTGAGCCATATTTTTTTGAAGAAATTGATCTTGTAATAGTGATTTTTCTGAAGAATGCATGGTTAAAAGTAGGGAAGAGTTTTAAATTTACGTGCAAAATTATTTTATTTAAAAATGTATGGTTGAAAATGAGTTTGGAAAAAAAAGAAGAAGAAGTGTTTTTTTAAAGAATGGGAGGAAACAGGGCTTTGTAAATTATGAACAGGGAAAAAAAATATAAAATTTGAATTGTGTATTAGAAAACACGGAAATAATGTAATAACAATGATAATTCACCATTAGATCTCCATTTTCTTGTATACCAAACACACAATCAGGAAGAGAAAAAAAAAATGTTAAAAAGAAAATAATGGATTTTCAGAATTAACAAATTTGATGAAGTATAAATTTGTGGGTGTGAGTGTGGGGCCGGGGGGGGGGGGGGCTGAAGGGGGGGGGGGGCGGGGGGGGGGGGGGAGCTGAAGTATTTTTTTCTCCTTTCTTTTGTTTAATTTTATTGTTATGATTCTTTTTATGCGGAAAAATTTAAAGTTACTATTTTGTACTTTTTTTTTTTAAATTGATTAATACCTCACTCTTTTTTTTGGGTCAACTAATAGTCATGATCCTTTCATCACATGTGATTTAAAGGTTTGGAACCAGCGTTACAGATTAGAATAAAAATTGCAACAATTTGAAAAGTTGGCGACCGTGACTACAATTATTCCTTGTTTTTCTTTGAAATCTGATTAATTGTACCCCGTGTGTCCCTAAAAATTGAAATGAAAAACAAAATTATACACCTTCACTTCAACTTTTTTACGTGACCCATCTTCGACTTTGCATGCTACAACCTTTCCTTCTTGACTTCTCCTTAAACTCAAATATTTTCTCCACCTCTATCAGTGGCAACGTGGATCTGTATTAACATTGTTGCATATTATTAGACTTCTCCATTTCTAATATTCACTAGATTGCTTTGGAGAGCAAGAAACGTATTGTGATTTAGAAATAATAATTATTAGAAGTGTTTAGAGCTTTTAATTTGAGCGACAAAATCTCACTGACTTGGAGGGTTATTGAAAGGGACTTGTGGATTCTAATTTGTGCAATGGAAAAAGAATTACAATTAAAAAAAAAAACAAAAAATCTATGATTTGCTGTTATCAAAAACTGAGAAAGTCAGCTGTACAAAAAAAATCTATACTTATAGCATTGTTCAAAGAATTATGCTTATTGTACATAATACCTTATTGAATTTGTTCCAAAAAAGCTGAGGTGGCATTTTTTGGTAGTCAAAATATTTTGGAAATGTTAGAGGTACATAATTTTTTGTAAATAAAGGTATTCACCCTCTCACATGAGTGGAGCCCGCTCAAATAAAATTATTCGAACGGCCCCACTCATATGAAAGGATGGATATCCTCATGTATAGAAAACTATGTACACGGATCTTTATTCAAATATCTTCAATTACCTAGGGACGGCAATGGGCCGAGCCCCTTTAACCCACGAGCTCGGTTCGGGCTCGTGGCTCGTAAAAGACTAGCCGAGCTCACGAGCCGCTCGCGAGCTCGTGATTATTTTGATTTTTCGAAAAGGACGAGCCGAGCCCAGGAGCCGCTCGCGAGCTCATGATTATTTTGATTTTTCGAAAAGGACGGATATATCCCTAAACTCAAAATATCCCCTGAGCGACTCTCTCGGTAGGATCCCAACCGCCAGCTTGAAGAACAGGAAGAAATCTAGGTTAGTAACTCCGATATCTGTCCGACACAGTAACTAGTAGTCCTGCGGCCGATGCCTTTCTCTTATTTCTTTAGAGTCTGAGCTGGATGTGAGGTGGCATTTTTTGGTAGTAAAAATATTTTGGAAATGTTAGAGGTACATAATTTTTTGTACATAAGGGTATTCACCCTCTCACATGAGTGGAGCCCGCTCAAATAAAATAATTCGAACGGCCCCACTCATATGAAAGGATGGATATCCTCATGTATAGAAAACTATGTACACGGATCTTTATTCAAATATCTTCAATTACCTAGGGACGGCAATGGGCCGAGCCCCTTTAACCCACGAGCTCGGTTCGGGCTCGTGGCTCGTAAAAGACTAGCCGAGCTCACGAGCCGCTCGCGAGCTCGTGATTATTTTGATTTTTCGAAAAGGACGGATATATCCCTAAACTCAAAATATTCCCTGAGCGACTCTCTCGGTAGGATCCCAACCGCCAGCTTGAAGAACAGGAAGAAATCTAGGTTAATAATTCCGATATCTGTCCGACACAGTAACTAGTAGTCCTGCGGCCGATGCCTTTCTCTTATTTCTTTAGAGTCTGAGCTGGATGACACTGCAACTAGTAAAATAGGATTTTCGTTAATTTTAGGTTTCGTAATTGATTTTCACATGTATTGAAGAAAGTGATTTTCACTCGATTCAAAAGTGATTTTCGTGTTTATTTTAGGTTTTGTAATTCAATTTTAGCAGGTATTCTTATGCTACTGTGTGCCAACTTAGATGCTCATAAGCTACTGTGGGTCTACTGTGTGTTATTTAATCTTCAATTTGCCATTAGTTTGTTGAAGAAAATTGTCACCCAATTATAGAGTCAAAAGGGCAAAATGTGACTTAGTTGTCACCCTATTATTCTCCATTTCACTTCTATTACTACTGCAGTGACTTTGGATTTACAATATCAATTTTTATTTCATTTCTTTCACTCATATTCCAGGGGAATATTTTTGATCTTGCCATTAAAAAAAAGGTTAATGAAGCTCATGAGAGGAGGAATGTGCAACAACTACGTTAATGTAGTCTGTGAACACTTGACAAGAGTGACATTCTTTTTCGTTGTTTATTTGTTTTTCCTTTTGAATGGATCTGTGATGTATATTAAAGAGTTCAGTTTAAAGAATTTCATTATAAGTTGAAATGTTTTACCTTCATCTTCTATAATCGGAGTTTTACATTGGACATCTATGCTTAGCATTCAAAATTTGAATTCGAGAATTTATAACCATTGTTTTCAATCTCTATAATTAGATAAAACAATTGTTATAACACTAATTGGATAGATTTGAATTACAATAATACACTTTGTAATTGATTTTCACATGTATTGAAGAAAGTGATTTTCACTCGATTTAAAAGTGATTTTCGTGTTTATTTTAGGTTTTGTAATTCATTTTTAGCAGTTATCCTTATGCTACTGTGTGCCAACTTAGATGCTCATAAGCTACTGTGGGTCTACTGTGTGTTATGTAATCTTCAATTTGCCATTAGTTTGTTGAAGAAAATTGTCACAATTGTCACCCAATTATAGAGTCAAAAGGGCAAAATGTGACCTAGTTGTCACCCTATTATCCTCCATTTCACTTCTATTACTACTGCAGTGACTTTGGATTTACAATATCAATTTTTATTTCATTTCTTTCACTCATCTTCCAGGGGAATATTTTTGACCTTGCGAGCAAGGTCTATGCCACTAAAAAAAAGGTTATTGAAGCTCATGAGAGGAAGAATGTGCAACAACTACATTAATGTAGTCTGTGAACACTTGACAAGAGTGACATTCTTTTTCGTTGTTTATTTGATTTTCCTTTTGGATGGATCTGCTATGTATATTAAAGAGTGCAGTTTAAAGAATTTCATTATAAGTTGAAATGTTTTACCTTCATCTTCTATAATCGGAATTTTACATTGGACAACGATGCTTAGCATTCAAAATTTGAATTCGAGAACTTATAACCATTGTTTTCAATCTCTATAATTAGATAAAACAATTGTTATAACACTAATTGGATAGATTTGAATTACAATAATGCAAACATAGATTGATACAATGAATACAAAAGCATCAAACCTCTCTTATTCGAAACACATCAAACCTTTATTTGGGAAGATTCATTGTGTAATAGGTTTGGAGAAAAGTTAAGCAAAGAAAAAGATTGGCAGCAACTAAAGCAGTAAAAGTCCACGGACTACGAAAATAAGTATTAATTAATTCAGCAATCCATGTTTTTGCCTTGCTGCTGCAGTGCTTCTCAATACACACCCTCACATCATCAACATTAGTGGTATCATGAAGTCCCCAGGTATTAATCCCTTTGATTACTTCAACAACTTGTTCATCATTGTCAAAACCGTTGATGAGTATCTTCTTTTCTCGCAGTTCCTTCACATCTTCAGATTTAACAATTAGCGATTTCAAGAAATTAACATTACATATTATAGGCATGCCCACGTTGCTTTCTTGAAGCGCTTCATACGCAATCAACTGTGTATGGAGTTGTTTGGAAACGGCATCGACATGCCAAACGGGGAGTTGAAGTTGCCCATAAAATTTGTAGGATCTGAACTTAATATTCTTCAAGTCGTATGAACTACGTTTGAAGTGGATGCCTTTTGCTTTGAGATCGGTGACTGGACGAGGTTGGGCATCGTGAACCCATAATGCATATGGATTTTCGTTCTTCCATGGCCACCATAGACATTTGAATTTGAAATTAATATTCTTCAAACAGTATGAACTAGGCTTTTCTCCTTCATTATCCAGTTCGACAAGTAGTTGATGAAGAGCAGCCACAAGGTGAAGCGGTTTCTTTTTATCTTCTCCTGTAATACTTATTGTGAAGTTACTCTGCAAGGCATAGTAAGATAAGAACTCAGAAATTAACATTGGTCCTTCTTCTTCGTTTCCATATATTAAATTAGTCAAGAGCTCAATAACCCAGAGTGGAATTTGATTGTCGAGTAAACACAAATCCTGGAAGGCAAATTTCAATAAAGCCCTTCCAAGATGTTGACAGAAGTGGTAATATTTTTTAAAATCTCCTGCAGAAATCTTCATAAGATATATAGCGAAAGATGCATCTAGAAGAATCATTTCAGCTAGCGTTCTATCATCATATGCATCTCTAGAAACCCCAACGTAACAATTTCTAATCTTGTCGATCACTTTAAAGATCTGGCAGTGGCAGGATTCTTTGCTTTTGCCGCTGCTTGAAACAAACATTTTAAGGACTTCATGCTCAAATTTTTCTGCCATGCCAAATTCTTTCAAGCCATGGTAATAAGGCCCAAAGGAAACCATCTTAGGAGCGTAGTAATCCTCTTCGTTGTGTTTATTAAAACGCACAAGTTCGGGCACTCTATGCATTCGAGGAGAATACTGATCTTCACCTTCACCTTCGGTATCTCTGGTGTTATTTGCTGAAGGGTGTTGGTCTTCCATTACATTCAAGAATAGATATTTTCAACCACTGTATGATTGCTTTATTACAGTTGATGCAAGCTACACAGCGTTTTCCACTCTCTTAATAATTCAAGTAGTGGGCCATCAGACAAATATAACACTTTTCAAACGCAGAATAAATCAAAGCCTCTTTTTTTTTTTTTTTTTTTAATGGTACTCTTAATAGTTAAAGTAGTTGCTAGTGACTCACCTTTAACCAAAATTTCTTGTTTTTTATTTATTATAACTTGATCACCTAAAATTGGTTTTTGTTCCAACGACGTCAGTCTAACCACCTTGAAAATCTGATGTGGCATGAGACGTCAAAACTTATTTCGGAATTGTGACAGATAAAATAAACACACAATTGTTTCTAAGCAATTTTTTGTTATATTCACTAGGTTGTATCCGTATCTCTGTTGGGTTTTCCTTCTTTTCTCAAAGATGTTGATAGTCCTCAAACAATTTTTTTGTTCTTATATATATGAAGGACCTTCCAGTACTTTAGTAAAAATGTCATTTCTGTATGACGTCTGGGACTAATATTATCAATCAACTAACCATTATAGACGTTTTAGAGAATATCACAATAGTTCATTTAGCCAGCTCACTCGCACGATAGTTAGCAACAACCAAAATGGTGTTGTAAAATTAAATTGATTGGGTAAGTCAAAAGTCAATTTAAACAACAGCTGAGCAAAGTTGATACTATCATATCGATTTCAATTTTCATGTTTATTTAAAATAAGTTTCAAATGTTTTGTAGACGAGAATGGATTTCAAGATTTTGCTTTGGTATAGAAATTATTGGTTTTATGTTTCTATGAAACAACTTTTTATTATTATCAATTGAAATACGGATTTGAAGATGTTAAAGATGTATGAAATCATTGCAATGTTTTAGAATTTGACAGCCTAAAGGTCGTTCAAAACATATTTTTATTATTGTTTTTGGGTCCATATAAGGTTCGAAATTAGAACCAAATTGTATATGTATGAAAGAGTGCGGACTAACATTTGTTTAACTAAAAGTCATCAATCATGGATAGAAAATTAGTTAAACCATCACATGTTAATGAGTTTCAATTTCATGTAACACAACGTCAATACCATATAGAAATAATTAGATGTAAAACTTGATGCAAATTCGAAAATTCGAATTTGCAAATTCACATGTAGGTAAATCATGAATGATAAAACTCTCTCTCTTATCTTTATGTTTATTTGGTTACAGTTGATCCAACTATGAATGAATAAATAATAAATTTCAGATTCCCCACCAGAGTGGACCGGACATAACCAAATCGTTGAAGCATCTAACTGGCTGTCACAGCTTTCTCATGCACCATAAGTCTTTACACTGTTTTAAAGTATGTTTGGCAAAACTTATTTAAGTTTATCGGATGGGTTAAACATTGTTTTTATTTACATACTTTATGAACCCGTAACTTTATCTACTTTTAATCTATTCAATAAATTTACAGCTTAATCTAAACAAAGGTATAAAAAAGGGAAAGCTCATAATTTACAGTTGTAGGAATGAACATTTCGGGCAAAGCCTTTGTTTGCCGTGGTTTGCAAACCGCGGTCCAACCTAGTTCAACAACATTTTTGTGTTTTTTAATTTTAATTTAATTATATTTTTTTTTTTTCTTGATCAGTTTGGACTCCTTTTCGAAGATCAACTCTCAAAATTCTTTGATCACTATAAATAGACCTTGTTTAGGTCATAAGAAGGGGTTACGCCGTAGAAAAATAGAGAGAAACTGAAGAGAAAATTAGAAAAGTCAAGATAAAAATCAAGAAAACTAGGGTTTCGAAGATTTGACTTAGGAGAAAAGATTTCTGGCACAAGATTGTCAATTTTTTTCTCCTTTTTCCTTCAAACTCATTGATATACTATAATCTTTTCTTGAATTTTTATTCTCTCATGATATTTAGGGGGGGTGTATTCAATTGAGACTTTTGAAAACTTTGATGGACTTTTTTTAAGTGATGACTTTTGTGAATTTCGTGGATCTTTTATAGATTTGTATAGAGTTAGTGAAAGTATCTTGTAGACATCTATCGATTTTCATTTTTAAATTTTTTTCTCCTTTTACCTTGAAACTCATTGATATACTATAATCTTTTCTTGCATTTTTATTCTCCTATGATATTTAGTGGGGTGTATTCAATTGAAACTTTTGAAAATTTTGATGGAATTTTTTTAAGTGATAACTTTTGTAGATTTCGTGGATCTTTTATATATTTGTATAGAGTTAATAGAAGTCTTTCTTAGACGTCTATGGATTTTCATTTTAAAATTTTTATTGACTTTTGTGGAATTTATATGGATCTAGTGTGAAATTCTCACATACGAAGTGTTAGTCCCCATAATTCCCCCCTTTTCCTTCCCCTCCTTCTTTCTACATAATAAAAAAAATTGAAAAAATAAAAATTTAACTAAATAAATAATAATCAAAATTATTCATATAGATGATTCAATTTGGTAGTATAGTATACTTTTAAAATAAATAAAAATCAATATATTTAAATTTAATTATATTTTTCCACAAAAAAAATGAATGAAAAAAAGAAAAAAAAAAGCTACAAGAGTCCAATTTAATTTTTTCATAGAAAATAGAGATAAATAATAAGTGAAAAAAAAAGATTATGGAATATATTCAACAGAAAAATAAATGTTAATCATACATGTCCATGGAAGGTTAAAGGAAAGAAAAATTGAATTTTTTTTATTTTTATTTTTTGTGAAAGTCATCCAAAATCTTATGATTAATGAGAGACAGATTTTAAAATATTATAAGTCTACTTTCTCTTTAAAAGTTAATACTCCAGAAACTTTTATAAAAACCTCTAAAAGTCTTTAAAATTTGAATACTCGAAGACTTATAGAGATTTCTAAAAAGTTTTAATTGAATACAACATGACTTTTAGAGAGTATCAAAATGTCTCAATTGAATACTTTCTTAACTTTTTAAATTCCAAAAAGTCATTAAAAGTCTAAATTGAATACACTCCCTTTAATCTTTCCTTTAGTTGTTGTGTCTTTTACGTTCACTTCATCATTTTTTATTCCTATCTTCTTGCCTTCTTAACCTTTCTTTGAAAATAGAAAAGGAATAAAGCAAAGATGCCAATAACAAAAGAAAAAAGGGGAAAAAAATTTGAAGCAAAAGTTACAAACGAGCCTTGCGTACTTGAAATGTTTTTCCTTTAGTTATTGTGTCTTTTACTTTCATTTCATCCCTTTCTTATTCTTTTCTTCTTGCCTTCTTAACCTTTTCTTTGAGAAAGAGAAGGAATAAAACAAAGACACCAATAACATAAATAAATAAATAAATAATATATAAATTAAAAATTAAAAAATAATAATTCAAACAAAAGTTACAAATGAGCCTTGCATACTTGATGTTAGGTTTTGTGACTCAAATATAGTTAGGAGTTTTGTGAGATTGCATATTTGATTTTTACTTGGAAATGAAGATTTTATCTAAGTTGAATAAGGAAAGGAAATCCTTTCTACACGCAATTGTAATCTAATTTTAACAGATTTTTTTTACCTTTGAGGACTCTTCTAGGGTTTGGAACATGACCTGTAAATACAAGACTCCTTTGTTAATTTTGTTTAAGCATTATTGCTGTGTCAGTAATTTGTCTTCATATTGTCAGTTAATATACATCGTTCCTCTGCGATAACTCTCTTTGTTCTTCTTTGCTTTTAATCTTATGTCTTGTTGTGATCTTTAATAATTCATATTATGTCATTAATCATTCTTCTTTGCTTTTAATCTTATGTCTTGTTGTGATCTTTAATAATTCATATTATGTCATTAATCATATTCATTACAATCCCTCCGCCTCCAACACTTGAAGCGATTTTCTCCCTTTTCCTTTTCTAGGTTGAGTCCCCCCCCCCCCTCCCCCTCTTCTTTTCTTTTTAGTTTCTTCGATTTTGAGCGAGAGAAGATCTTATGGAAGTCGGAATATATTACAAATGTTAATAACCAGTTAGAAGTGTGAATTTTTTGCAAGTCTTGAATCAAGCCGCTTGATAGATGAGATGAATGAAAATTTTTAATGCACATAACAAATGAAATTTCAAAAGAGCTTTCGATATATATATATATATATATATATGTATGTATGTATGTATGTATGTATGTATATTCTTTTTTTAACCTGGTATGATATGTTATATCTGGATGTCTCTCCAAAATCTCCTCCGTAGATTTGTCAAGAAAATGCATCAAGTTTAAAAATTCAAAAGGGCAAAAAAAAAAATTCAAAATTTAATTAAAATTAACATTTAGGAATCCAAATCCCACAAATCTTGAAAAAAAAATGAAGTATAAATCCGTAAATTTAATTAGACAAGACTGGATGGGACACTAAAGAAATTAACACTACCTTAGTATTTTAATCTTGTCTAATTCAACTTCACAAACAATAATTTGAAAGCCATATTTGTAAATATGAACCAAAGAGAATAAAAATACCAGGATGGACTATTCATTTATTATTTTATTCAAAAGGTGCACAGATAAAATTGTGTATAATTCTTTGTTTGAGCCATATTTTTTTGAAGAAATTGATTTTGTAATAGTTAGCAACAAACACAATGAATCTAAACGACAGTTAGCAACATGCAAAATGGTGTTGTAAAATAAAATTAATTGGGTAAGTCAAAAGTCAATTTAAACAAATACAACTGACCATAGTTGATATCATCATATCGATTACATGTTTATTTAAAATAAATTTCAAATGTTTTGTAGACAAGCATGGATTTCAAGATTTTGCTTTGGTATAGAAATTATTGATTTTATGTTTCTGTGAAACAACCTTTTTATTATTATCAATTGAAATACAGATTTGAAGATGTTAAAGATGTATAAAATCATTACGACGTTTTAGAACTTGACAACCTGAAGGTTATTCAAAACATACATTTATCAATACCACATAAAAATACATGATGCTATACAAATGTCTAATGT